AAACCAGTTTTTAATTAAAAACTACTGAAATCTATGTTTCTCTTACCTTCTTTCGAAATGTTTGCAAAAATATCCTATGTGGTGCAGGAGCAGTTAGGAATTAGACATTGAGAATGTGGGTGACGATGTCTGGGAGGAGGCCCTGCGATCAATCCATTTAGTGTCCCTCTCTGCTTCTCATAGATGAGCCCAGTTCTATATTCTGCATAGAACTTACGGTACTCCAGAATTTCTCTTTAAAATCAGTTTTTGATTGGACTCAAAATGCCCAAAATGTGGTCTAGAACCAGGATCTTTAATTCGTCTCTTATGGTGTTGCCCGAAACTGGTACGATACTGGCAACAGGTAATTCGCAAGTCAACGTTTTTGAATTCTCGGACTGGGACTCCTTTACCCTTGCTACTGTACAGTATCTAGGGCATTATTGTCAGGATCCAGAGCACCCCCAGGTGGCGCTGGAGCCAGGTCCTGCAGTTCCTGTGCTCGCCTGCGGGTGTCTCCAGCAGCCAGGAACTGTCAGGAACCAGACCACCACTGGGTGGTGCTGGAACCTGTAGCTCCAGTACTCACCTGCCGGTGTGCCCAGGCTGTGAGTGATCATCCCATCACCTGGTGCTTCCTGGGAGGGTATTTAGGCCCTCCCTGCAGTCAGGACGTTGGCTCAGTATCTTGTTGCCTTCCGTGTCCTGAGCCCTGTACCCTGCAACCTGAGACCCGTCTGCAGCCCTGAGCCTCATACCTGTATGCAGTCCTGAACGCTTCCTTGTAACCAGTTCCTGGATCCTGAGCCCTGATACCTGCTTTGTAGTTCCTAGCCCTGTTCCCGTTTGCTGTTCCCTCTGGATGTAGGTGTATTTTCGTTCTATTCAGGTTTTGTTATTTACTGCTTGTGTTAGCTTGTGGGTGTTGGTGGGGTTTGTGTTTTCCTGTTTTCGGTGTAGCAATAAACTGTGTGCCTATACCCTATCCAGTGTGGTCATACTAATTTGGTCATCCTGCATGGGTACCTGCATGCGGTGTGGGGACACCCGCGCACGGTACCCTGACAAATTATTTTCAGCACACCATGTTCTTGTGCTGAACTGGCTGTCGTCCACACTGCCTTCTGAAGAGGTTTGGATTGCAGAATTTGATCGCTTAATAGATTTTGAAAAGTGTACATTTCAACATCGGGGGACTTTGGATCGGTTTTAGATTTCCCTCTAAATGCCCTAAATGTGGTCTAGAACCAAGTTATTTAATTCAATTCATCTCCTCTAGCCACCTATCCCAAATAATAATACATTTTTTGATTTGGGATAGGCGGTTGGGGCGTGGGCTTCATCCCACTCCCAGCTTTTTTTGATCGCTCCTATACCTTTTTTTAAATTTGAGAATGTTTTATTTGTATATTCTAGCCTGATCTTACGTATGGTTCCCGCCTCCTTTTTATGCATGTTGACACCTCTTATGCTCGATTCAAGTTCATAACAAGGTTTAGATGTGTCTGCGACACTTCTATTTGGATTTTCATTCTTCTAGTTGAGGTTACCTGCACTGAAGTACATGTCTTTTTGTTGTTTCTCTTGTTTAAAAGGTTAATAAAATGTATCTAATATTGATATTAAAACAAGAAAACTGTGTTTCTGTTTTAGTTTGCTGCCTGCTGTGAGTTTCTACCGCCATGAAAAAAAAGCCTTCATTATATAATTAGAAATCCCCACCCACCCCACACACTTATTTTAACTAACTTACTGCCTCTCCAAGAGGACTTCACACACTGGCTTAGATGTTGGCACACCTGCCTTGCAGCACTGGCCTGCTAAACAAGTGAAATCTATCCATGTATGGTTAGCCCTAGACTGTCTGACAGAGGGCATTCATTAGTAGGCAATTAGACATGTTGTATGCACAAGTGCCAAAAAGGAACATTTTGACAGGAGGAGAGCAAGTAAGCAGGAGAATGAGCTCATCAGTCATCTGCTGCTCTTAATCTGTAGAAGAGGCCATAGGACCTAGCTGTATTTTTTAAACTGCAGTAGCAAGACACCAACCTGTGTCCAGCAGGGCTGTGTAAATCTCAGGAATGGATATATAGAAATACCTCCCCTTTAAAGAAAGGTAAAACATCACACATATGTATTTCAACAGTGTAATTTAGCCGTTTGCCTGGAATTCAACTTTACATAAACAGAGAAGTCCCTACCGCCCAAGAGTAAACCGTGCAGTCGTTACGATCCACCAAGACATCCCCTTCATAAGGACCAAAGATGCAGCCACGTGGTATGATGGGGATTGTACACCAGACCCCAAATCCTCCTTGCGGTCTCTCCTTTACCACCAGCCCTTCTGGCAAAGAGAGCAAAGCACGGGATGGAACGTTTTCTGGAACTGGAGTGTCCAAGATGAACGTTGGGGTTCCGTGTTGGGGACAGGAGTCTCTGAAGTACAAGCGACAGTCTTCACAAACTGCAACGAGACAAGAAGTAGAGGTATTGTAGATAAATCAAATTATTGAGGAACCATTTTAGATGGGATCCAGCAGTGAGAGGAGGAGATTGCAGGAAGAACGCAGCACTGGTACCCCAAAGGGGAAGTATATGTGACAAGCAGGATGCTACATAGTATTACATAGTTTTTGAGGTTGAATAAAGACACAGGTCCATCAAGTTCAACCTTTGTATGTGTGTGTTGTGCGTGCAAGTGTGTATATGCTCAAATTGCTTTCTTTGCAACACTAAATAAATACATTTGGGTGCACAACAAGATCTTTTATAATGACATTCAAATGTTTTATACCTTTTTATATTATTTTCTTTGGTGGTCAAGGCAGAGCCGTAGCTAGCTCCTTTTGCACCCGAGGCAAGAACAGAAAATTGTGCCCCCCAACAGACGTGTTATGTCACGCTGCGCACGCTCATCATCATGTGGCGTAATGCTCCCCGCCTCCAGGATGGCCGCGCGCATGCACAGAATGTGCTGGTGGCCAAATCCAAATTACCATAAAAATTTGTTTCGTTGGACGAAACAAATGAAAACATTTTTAGTTTCCGTTTATTTTGCCCGAAACAAATTGTTAGTTTTTGCACATGTCTAATAATATGTGTGGTGTGTGTGTGTGGGTTGTTTTTTTTACTGTGAGGGGGGCTTCGGGTGAAATATTAGGGGTCTAAACAGACCCGGACATTTCCCTTTTGAAATAAGAAAAAAAGAGATTGAGGACACAGAGTCCTCTGTTCATACGGGCAGGGGAGAGCAGCGGGGATCCAAGGAGAAGCTGGAGCCTGTGCCCCTCCTCTTCTCCCTGCCGAGCCGCGGCTGTGTTGACCGCATGGCCCCCCTGTTGCCAATGGCGTCTTGTGCTCGCCATGGCAACAGGAGCGAGAGGGCGCAGCCAGGTCGGCCCTGGCTACGCCCCCTCTCAGCTGCGCCTGAGGCGAGTGCCTCACTCGCCCATGGTAGCTACGGGCCTGGGTCAAGGGACTGCATAGCCTTTGTCTGCTTCTTCCCCATATCAGGGAGCGTGTAGGTATAAGCCAGTGGGCAGGCAGGGTGACCACACAGGATAGGGAGGTATGTTCCCTATCTGTGTGCAATATGTTCCAGCAGCTGTTGTGTTGATAGCAAGGATCTTGCTGGGAGCCCCTGTCAATCAACACAACAGGGGTGGGTGGAGTGGCCTGGTGGTTAAACTGACTACAGGAGATACAGGCATGATGTGCGTCGGCATGGCATTCTATATCTTCATGTAGGAAGAAGAGAGATGCAAACTGATCATGACAACACAAATCGGCTTCCACGATTGGTGTGGTCAGAATGACACAGAAGAGAGGGGGGGTCTGGCAGGATCACCAGGTATTTCAGAGAACAGGCTACATTACCCACAGCAACATAATTAAACAGACACATACATGAGGTACCATCCATTTTAAAGTAGACCTTGTATGGAAAAAAAGTAGATTTGAAGAATATATTGAACAAATAGACTGACCAATAAGCTTTTTAGTATCCGGAAGTCAGATAATAAAGCAAAATTCCACCTTCTCGAAAAAAAAAAAAAAAAATGCAGATAAAAGAAAATAAAATGTGCATTTATTTTTTTTGCATTGGAGCCAGTAAAGCATTGCTACTGCAAACAGTTGATTGTGGGTGCAATGCTCTGGATACTGCAGACTCTTCCTCCTGTCCATGTCTGTACCTTGGCATGGACATTCAGTAATATGCATGAGAGGAAGAATGAATGGGCTCCATAGTGGCAGATGAGACTTGCAGTTTCTCCATTCAGATCCTGTCAAAGGATCTGTTAATGGAGGACGTGGCTGTGTGGGCCGAGCTATGCACAGCCATGGCAAATTCAAAGATAATTATCCATGGTATGTTCTGGTATTACGAGTCTGGCCCTGCCCACTTAGGCACTGCAAGATTCTGACAGCCACAGGCATGCCTCCCAGAGACATAGGCATGATGGAATTTGTAGTTTCACCACAGTGGCAGGGCAAAACAGCAGAATTTGTTAAATGTTCAAGAGCAGCTGTTGTTAAAGTGTTTAAAGACTGGACTGTCAGACGAAAATCTGGGTCTGAACGTGCAAATTGTGGCCGTCAGCGCCTTAGGGCAGAACGGAGAGTGGCAAGACTGGTACAGGACAACAGAAGGGCAACAGTGCAGTGTCAGATTCCTCGCATCACCTTTCTACATCTCGTGGAGTCACGAGGCGGCCCAACGAAGTCATCTGGTGGAGTCATCTCGTGGCCCAACAAAGTACTGATGGGGTGGTCGTAATAATCTGGCCAATCAGTGTATATCAATACTCAAAGTGCGTTCTGGCTTCCTCAGGGTGTCCTTGAATATTTGGGATGGTAGGACCCTGATGTGAAGGAGACACCGTGGACTCTGAAGGGGGAATCTAAACTGAAGAAGGCTCCTAATGTAGTCTTATATAAATTGGGGGCTATTATGCTAAGGTTGGACCCTGATGTAAAGGGTGTCTTTTAATGTGAAAGGGGGGATTTTGATGTAAAGGGGGGCTTCTAATATGAATGGTGGGGATCTTATAGAAAATGGGACTTCTAATGTAAAAGAGGGGGACCTTGATGTAAAGGGGGGCTCCTTATATGAAGAGGGCTCATGATGTGAAGGGGGGGCTTCTGATGTGAACGGAGGGACCTTAATGTAAATGGAGGCTTCTAGTGTGAAAGGGGGATCTTAATGTAAATGGGGGCTTCAAGTGTGAATGAAAAAAAAGAGCTTAAATTCCTTTTTAAAACTATTTTTGTCGCTCAGGAGAATTATATTTCTGCCATTAGAAAAATAAATGTAAAATCTAATTGGTTACTAGAAACGTGACTCCCTTCAGGCACATCGCACGCTAGAACTGAAGCATTTTGTCTGGAAAAACTGCACTTATTTCCCTGTGACATGCCCTCAGCTCACCCCTTTCAATTCTGGCATTTGGTCTTTATCTCTACAAGCGAGCAACAGCAACAAAAATGATCAACTTACAGAGTAACTCATCTTCCAGCTGGGCGCAGGCGTCTTCCGCGGCTTGCATGGCTTGACTAATGTCCAGGCACCTGTGGTGGAGAGACAGCTCAGCTATAGGACACAATGCGCCGTTCGTGCTTAACTGTCATTTACATTGTACAAAACAAAAGCTAATCACACCAGGGACATGAATCAAAACTGAGCGATTAAACCCATTTTTTTTTCTTCTTTTCAACAATACGCAAAGCTGCACTGTAATCGCTTTGTTGCAGAATGGAATGGATGTGCAGAAGATGTATTGTGCGAACACTGGTAGTGATGACACATGTTGGGAGTATATCATATTTTGGAGATCGCTCCATTTGGTAATTGTTTATTTTAAAGGGTAAGTGTACTACTTCGGTGTAGAGCTAATCGCACAGGTCTGTAAGATTCTTGCATGCTTCTGCACAACGCACCTGGCATACTACAGTGTGCTAGGGGCCTTGCATTGCCATTTACTTGATCATAGAATAAAAAAAATTAAAAAAAAATCAATGTGTAAATCTTAGGTAAGAGTTACGTGAATCTTAGGAGGGAAAAAAATGTGATAAATAGACCCCTAAATGTGTAATAGGCATTAAAGAAGAACTATGAGGTGAGTGAAAATCACTCAGCCTCATAGTTCTAGCTGACCTGTGACAATGAAACTGTCACAGGTTGGCTCAATAGATCGGGAAGTGAGCGAACACATAGCGACGCACGCTCACTTCTCGATCTATCCCTGCAGAGAGCCGTGACTGTCACTCAGGCTCCCTGCAGGGATTCCCCCCCTGTCCGATCCTCCAGCGCTGACTGGTGGAACAGTCAGGGGAGGGTACAGCTGGCTCTGACTCTAGATAGGCAGAGCCAGCTGTCAATCACGCAGCTGGGTGGATGGCGACAGTAATGTCGGGATCCGCCCCAACGTCTCAGTATACTGAGCTTTGGGTGACGGGAGGACGCTAGTTTGTGTCCTCCCGTTACCCTTAGGAGAACTATGGGGAAAAGCCCTGACCCCCATAGTTCTCCTTTAAGTGAATCTTGGGAGAAAGAAATTGATAAATAGACCCCTAAATGTATAATAGGCATTAATGCAAGTCACAGATTGATTCTGGTCTATGTTCTAAAATGTATTATCTATGCAAATAAGTATGTTGCATTTAGACCCCTGGTACCCAACCTGTGGCCCTATGTGTGTCTCTCAGCAGTCAGTAGTTGGAGCATTGATTTGTAAAGGGGCCCTTAATAAGAGTGATCTCTAGCAGTTTTTTTTATGTAAGATGTCCCTAGTCTCTGGCGGTCTTCTACAGCATGACTTCAGTTTCAAACTACTCCGGTAGGGCAAGCTATGATCATTTCCTTTAGTAAGTTTACTAAACTATACTATAAATACACTGCCTGGCCAAAAAACCTGCATTATACCTTCCAAAACATTGGATTTCCACCTGGATTTATCTACGTAAATAGGTAGGAGCCTTCCATTGCATATATACTGCAGTGATTATGTTTCAGTTGGCAACAAGTTATTGTAACCCTGATACAGTATATAGCTTCTCATTTCTTAAAGCGAACCTTTACCCATATCTTTAAAATAACAACAAACACACCTTTAGAAATGTTTAGTAATGACAATCTACAAACACATACTTCTAGAGAATTTCCGGCTTTGTATTCTTTGCATACCTTATTTTTCTTTTCTTCCCCAGTCTTCTGATAGTGGCCATGTTTATTAAGGGCAGATTGCTAGCTCTTCTATTACTTCCTGGATTTCTGGCATATGTGACTAGGACATGTGACCATGCACATCATCTCAGGGGAGGAAAATGCCTTTCACCAAGATGAGCAGGGGTGTGGAATTCCTATCGCCCGATGCCCTGGACATGCAGTTTCGGGCGCCGGGCGAGTAGTTTTTTTCTTTTTAACATTTTGTCCTGCTCCGGACAAGCAGAGCTAAATGTACAGCAAGGAGCCGCCACTCGTTTTTAGACAAGTGATCTGATCAGATCACTTGTATCAAATTGAGCAGCGGCGATCGTGTCAGGGGCCCCCGCGCCATGGTTTTCGGAGTCCCACCTCTGGGGGACCCGTGATCACGGCATATGAGCTTACCATACAGCCCGTAGAGCAGACGAAGAATGTCTGTTCTTCGTCTGCTCTGTGTGATCACTGAGACAGGAGCGCTGTAATCACAGCGTCACCTGCCTCAGCTGTCAGGAACTGCACAGAACACCTGTTCTGCGTTAGAGAGCAGGTTCCATAAAGAGAACCTGTCACATAGGGGATTTTAAGTCCCTATGTGATAGTAATAAAATTAAGTAGGAAAAAAAGTAAACAATAAATGCAAATTAACCTCCTTGCTGATCGGCTGGGAAGCTAGCAAGCAGTAGATATATGCAAAAACATAAAAAATAATTTTAAAAAGTTACCGAATAGGTAAAACCTTTCCTGCGTCTCCGCCACTCGCTCCCGTCTGAAAATCTGAAGATGCTCGAACCGACGTGAAGGATCATGGGTGGGTGCATGTGTGGAAGAGATCCTCGGCCGGGAGAAGAGGGGAGACAGTGTAAGTCAATGCACGCATCCTGAAAGAAGCATGCACGCGGACAGACACCGTGGGACACAGCAGTCATTTAAGATAAGTCCTCACACTAAACTATGCTTGATAGTGCAAGTAAAACATTTCCACACGCACAATGCAAAGAGAACTCGTGGGATTGGGACTAAACAGCGGTGTAGCCTTAAGAAAACCATTCATCAGTGAGCCTAATCAGGGAAAAAAGGCTTCAATTTGCTAGGGAGCATAAAGATTAGCCTCTGGAGCAATGTAAGAAGGTCATGTGGTCTGATGAGTCCAGATTTACCCTGTTCCCTGTGAGTGATGGGTGCATCAGGGTATGAAAGGCACCCATCATGCCTAGTGCCTACTGTACACGCTGGCCAGGTCTAGGTTCAGCAATGTTACGTGCCCAAAAAATGAGGTCAGCTGACTCATACTGAATGATCAGGTTTTTCCATCAATTGATTTTTTTCTTCCCTGATGGCACAGGCGTATTCCAAGATGACAATGCCAGGATTCATCGGTTCAAATTGTGAAAGAGTGGTTCAGGGAGCAGGAGACATCATTTTGGCCACAACAGAGTCTAGACTTTAACCCCATTGAGAATCATTTGGCTGTGCTAGAGGAGACTTTACGCAGTGGTCCAACTGTCCCATCATCACTACAAGATCTCGGTGAAAAATGAATGTAACTCTGGATGTAAATAAATGCTGTGACATTGTATAAGCTTATCAAAACAATGCCACAGCGAATGGGCGGTATAAATCAAAGCTAAAGGCAGTCCAAGAAAATATGAGTGTGTGTGGAGTTTTTGGCCAGCCAGTGTATTATTTCCGGCCCTTTGGAGACTTCAGGGTCCACAACTGAGGCCCCTTTTTACTTTGTAAGTTGACAACGACTGATTTAGACCATTCTGGTTTGTACAGTACAGATGCTATAGGTAAAACTGGCGCTCATCACCACACAAGTATGTTCGCAGATTTAAAGAACGAGATAAGCGGCACTTCTGAAAGCAATTTCTGAAAATGAGGGACGGCTGGTGACTATATTTCATCAAACAGATGGGTGTCAATCTGTTGTACTAATGGTTTATTGTATAACATTTGGTTTTACATATATGAATATCCATGATCTGTTCCACAAAAGGAAAGTATGCTGTGATGTCTACAACAGATGCTCCACCAAGGAAAATGTAAGCATACATTCAGCAACAACTCGCTCACAGAAAAACTGGTTCTTTCAAGTTGTAAAGAGCAATGTACAAAGCATGTTCCTCAATGCATCCAATCAGCAATAATATTTTTAGTCTTCCGACTGCTACAAACGTATGAAAGGTGGTGTGATTGGCTGCATGTCAGTCTTGCTCTTTATGGACCAGGGGTGTGGAAATTTTAGAAAAAACTGCTTGTCCAAGGACTAAAGCGGGGGCCGAATCTACTTGTCCCTCATGACAATCTACTTGTCCTGATACAAAAAAATTATTTTAACCAAAACCGTATTTAGTAGTGCTAAGAAGCACTTCTCATTGGTAAGTGCCGTCAGGTGACCGCGTTGACCAACGAGTGCTTGCAATTTGCGAGCGGAATTCACAATACATGGAACAGGTACAGATAGTACACCCGTACTGGTGGACGGGAAGGACCGTTCGCCGAAAGGTAAGTATAGTGGGAGGGAGATTTGTGCGGGCAATTCCATTTTCCCAAATTACTTGGGAAAGTGAATTTACCCTTTAGACCCCGTTCACATGTAGCGACATACCTTTACAGCGGCCGGGATAGCGCGACTTTCGGGGCGACGTTCCAGCGACGATAGCGCGACCTTCTCCGTCGGGCTCCATAGAAAAAAAGCAAAATCCGCAGAAAAAAGGGTCCGGTAGAAGCGACTTGCGACCGCGACGAGCGACATGGAGTTAAGACAGCTCCATTGAATAGCATTGGCCGGCGACTTCTCGCGATATCACGCGGCAAAAATGCGCGATAAGTCGCTACATGTGAATGGGGCCTTAGGGTTGGTGCAGACTTGGGGATTCCCAGGACGTGCGATCGTGTGCGGTTGCATCCGCATGTATGGGGTTACATCTGCGTGGCAATCGCTGGAAAAAGGTAGATGTACCTATTTTCACGACATGCACCGTGCACTGTTTTCAACCGTTATCGCCCGCGGCGGTATTGCAGCAGGAAAACGCGCAATCTGCCTGGCACGACTGGGGTGTCATTAAAAAATAATGGCAATGCGAGCGCGATTGGCGGTGGTGTGCGATTCCGTAACCACCCAGCCATCCGCTCGGTTTCGTGCATGATGACCGTGCAGTCACGGATCGCACACCACTGCCGATTGCGCCACTGCCACAGCCTGAGTAGAAAAGCCAGCATGCTGCAGAGGCAGACCATTGCTCTCTATGTGCGGAAACAGTGGTCTCTTGGAAGAGGTGAGACACACCGCCGTCTTGAGTCAGAGCTAGCCAATCAGCAGGGCTTTGCTGACTGCAGAGCTATAGGTTTAACTA